AAACTTGACTACTTATATCACCCCCACATATTCTGGAATATCAAAGTAGATCAGGACTTTTGTATCCAGATATATAGACTGTCAAAGTTAGCTTAATAATTTTGTTCAGCCATATTGTTTACAGTGTGTGAACATCATGTGCTGGCATAAATTTAAACATATAGAATGATCTTCTTCAAAGTCAAATGAAACATAACTACATATCTCCTGTTACACCATTGCAGGATATAGAAAAGATCCTTTCATTTGATCCAGAAATATAGACTCTCAAAGTTCCCAACATTTTGTCAGCCATATTGTTTACAGTATGGGAATTTCAAGTACTGGCATACATTTCAATACCACAACAGATTTCTTTAAAAGTCAAATGAAACAAAAGTACATATGTAAGTCCAACATATTGCAGGATATTGAGAATGTACATGTTTTTGATAAAGAATTATTGACTTTCAAACATGTTTAAAATTTTTTCATCCACATTGTTCACACTCAAAACTGCTTTGGGTGTCAACCATAAGCCTAGGGAGAAATTCTCAAAGAAATAAAGGATCTTTTCCCAAATAAAGTAAAATAGTAACATAATATTACACCTCTAACATATGTTGTAATTTCAAAGAGATACTTGCCTATCAATCAGAAACATTTGCACACAAGAATGATACACCTAGTGTATTATTTATACATTGGCCAGGCCCCCCTCCCCCACCTGCAGTAAATGTGTGTATTCATGAATGTTTGGATTAGGACCATCTCTGAGCTGCACAGCCAGTAATATTATTGTGGAATAGGAACTCTTGATGGAGTATCAACTTAGAAAAAGACAAATTACAAAGTCATTCATGGTGTATGAATAGAAATGTAATGCATGTACCAGAGGATTATCCATGCAATGTTATGTGATGCAGTCTGCATGTTGACAGTATTTCAATTACTGATTGTCTGCAGAAAGAAAGACAAATGGTACTTTCATCTGATTATTATTCTCTTTATTTTCTAGTTGAAGTACTGGTTTGTTCTGCACCAGGAATGTGGAGTTCAACCCTGCCTAAGATTCCAGACCACCCTTCTATTGCTATCTTTAAGTCCCATTCATCATTCAACTTAAAACCAGAATATTCATACCTTGGATTAAAACATGACAATGTAGTTTAAAGATATATTGTTTATTATTTATTTCTTCATTATAATGATGCTGATAATTTCATATCTATTTCTGGATGACTTGGGATTCCTCATCCCAACTTTACCTGGACCTGTAAGCAAGCTATACGTAATTGATGCTAGTCAAGCGATTGCATTGTTGGCATTATAATGTTCTATTTTATGATATCTAAAGTGCATGTGTATATGGTAGGATCAATTCTGGTAAGACATACCTTAATTTATTGGAAGGTTGTAGATACATGCATTTTGACTAGAATCACTATAATTATGATAGGAATAACTTGTGTCAACTATTGTCACTGTGTACAATTTTTAAGATATTGTTTTCATAAACCCAAGGTATTGCCTGTACTGTACCAATTTTTGTGCATTCCTTTTGTCATTACAAAAAAACTGTCATGAAATTGTCTGTGTTGCCTTATTTTTTTGTTCTTTTATAAATAATCAAAGTATGATTTCACAACAAGATGACACTTCAGCACAGTGGAGGCATTGGGGGATGACAAGCTAGAAGTATCATGTTTTCACAGAAGACAAGTATCCAATAATTTCCTGAATTAATATTATCCCAGTACCAAGAAATTTCATTGAAATGGCCTAAGTATAAGTTTAGGATAAATATTTACATATCTTGGTAATGATGTGTACAAAATTTCTAAAAAATCAAGAATCAGAACTCAAAAACTCGCTAAGAGTAAGACATGTGATGTAGAACAGGAAAAAATTTGACTTTGCCGCCAGGAAGTCTACCCATCGTCCCTTGAGCGTGAAACGAGCCTCGATCTCGTGAATGCCGGCGTTGCCTCACCATTGTACTTAGCACCATGGTATACACCTTTCTCACGTGGCGGCCATCTTGGAATGAAAACGAGGCCAATGACGCAAGAACGCTCGGCGCGCAATTCAAAATGGCGGCGGCTTCTAGTATGTCGAATTTCGCGGGACGACATGATCACTGTTGTGTACCTCACTGTACCAACGATGCGCGGTACGATACAGACAAGAGGCTGTCGTTCCACTCCTTTCCGTCCGATCCCGTCGTCAGAAGACAATGGATCCATGCGATCAGGCGTGATGTTGGACACAATTTTAAGGTAAACATTTTCTGTGACCGTACAAACTATTAGATCGCAATCGTGTTTACTGTGTGAAGCATTGCTGTCATAGTTTAATTTGGGCTCGCATGCCCTTTTCTGTAGAGCGTAATCGGCCGTTTTAATTCTACGTAGAGCGTAGACGGACCGCCTCTAATTCAATGTAGAGCGTAATTGGCTCATAATGCGTAGAGCGTAATTCGCCTATCAATTTCTACGTAATGCGTTGTAGCTACCCGGAACTTATCGTAGAACGTAATCGAGTGGCTTCCTGAATTCAGCGTAATACGTAGCCGGCTCTCAATATTTTGACAAATAAAATGAATCATGAAGAATCATTAAAATGTTATACGACTTTCCTATCACATATCAACAAGATTTCTGTGTGCGTGGGGAGAGTAAACAATCGAATTTGTTCATATAACAACTTGATGTGAAAGTCTTCAATTTTTAATGGATCTCTTATCATGCTTACAGATTACCATTTCAACGAAGGTGTGCTCAGCACACTTTGACGGCGCTGAGCTGAAGAGAACCCTTGTTGGGAAGAGAGTGCTGAGGAAAGGGTCTGTTCCAAGTATCTTTTCATGGACAGACAAGTGCAAGAGTGCCAGGAAACCCCCTAAAATGAGGAGCAGCTCTGATTTGGAGAAGGCAGAGTCTGATGAGGTTCAGAAGAGGTAAATTGTTTTTGTGATAAATGTATTTCAGATATTTGATGCAAATGAATTGATTAAAACTATTTTTTTTTTGTAATCTAGAAAAAATAATGTGCATGTACTAATGTATAATTACCACATTATGTTCAGCTTGTGAGTCAAACAGTTATTAAGGATCATTAACCTTAGTTTGAAAAAACAAGTAAGACTCTGAAGTATTGACAAGATCTATCCTTTTGTATACCTTGATTTATTCATAATTAAATTTTCATTTTCAGTGACTCCAATATGGAGGTGTGTGACACTGGAACTGCTGTAGACCACGACTATGCACAAGGCCCCAGCAAACCATCACTGGAGGAACAGCTAGCAGTAGCCATGGAACACATAAAAAAACTAGAACTGCAGAACAATCAGCTTAAGTGTCTTACATTTAATGCTCAGCGTTTCAGTTCTGATCCAGATACTCTTAGGTTTTACACAGGTTTCCAGTCATACAGTCTTTTCTTTTCCATGTATAAAGCTCTCGAACCAACAGCCACAAGGATGATTACCTGGGCACAAATGCAGAGGGGAAGGGATGTAACTGCTGATATGAGGGATATTATGAAGCATGGAAGTTTGTCTTGCATTGATCAGTCTTTTGTTCCTATGTTACTGCAAGTGCGGTCTGTTTGAGAAAGATCTTTCTGTTAGGTTCAATGTCAGTCTTTCCACAGTATCGAGAATTATAATCACCTGGGCCAACTACCTGTACCATATATTGGGCGCATTGCCTATCTGGCCATCAAGGGCTCAGGTGGATGAACATATGCCTGACTGTTTCAGAACTATGTACCCGAAGACAAGAGTCGTTCTAGACTGTACTGAACTAAGATGTCAGACCCCATCATCACTGTACTGCAACAGTCAGATGTATTCTAACTACAAAAGTCACACCACATTTAAAGGTTTGATAGGTATCACTCCTTCAGGAGCTGTGAGTTTTGTCAGCCAATTGTACAGTGGGAGTATTTCTGATGTGGACATCACCTCTCAGTCAGGTATTGTGGAATTATTGGATGAAAATGATGATGTCATGGCTGACAAGGGTTTTACGATAAGTAAGTTAGTGTCCAAAAAAGGTGATACTTTGAATATCCCACCATTCTTGACCAGCAAAAGACCTCAGTTCAGCAGGGAAGAAGTAGAAGCAACACAAAACATTGCACGGGTCCGCATTCACGTAGAAAGAGCTATTAGGCGGATTAAAGAGTTTCACATCTTTGACAGTGTGTTACCTTTAACACTGGCAGGGTCAGTTAACCAAATATGGACTGTTTGTGCATTGTTGACCAACTTCAGAGGACCATTGTTCTGAATGTATTGTTAAGATCACAGAATGTATTGTATTGTTAAGATCACAGAAATATTTGATGATGAGATGTTTTACACAATGATGATAATATAATAAGATATTGTATAATATATATCCACATGTGTAAAAAAATCTTGCTCTTTCTACATGAATGTGGACCCGTGCAATGTTCTGTGTTGCCACAACAAAGTCTAGAGTTAGATGTTCAAGGGTTAGGTGTAACAAGTCGATCGGTGTAATGTAGCCAGCCACCGCCGCGTCGCGTGCCTGCGAAGCTGGTGTGTTATGCCGAAGGGCGGTTATACCGGCTATACAGATACAGAAGCTGGTGTGTTACACCGAAAGACGGTTATACCGGCTATACAGATACAGAAGCTGGTGTGTTACACTGAAAGGCGGTTATACCGGCTATACAGATACGGATACATAAATGTATTGATAATGCTAGTTGCAAAACTATCTGTCCTAAAATGCAAGTATGGATTCTACAGTACAGTCTAGAATGACTCTTCTCTTCGGGTACATTCTACTTAACTTAAGATCACAAAAATATTTGATGATGAGATGTTTTACACAATGATGCTAATAAGATACTGTATGATATATATCCACATGTGTAAAAAAGTCTTGCTACATAAATGTATTGATAATGCTAGTTGCAAAACTATCTGTCCTAAAATGCAAGTATGGATTCTACTGTATAACTATAAGATTTGATGGTGAGAAATTTTATACAATGTGAAAGAATTTGTAGCCCTTTCACATCAGTATTTTGATCAAATAATAAATTGTACTACATTTACACAAATTTGCCCATTTCATTCTGTATTTTGAGTTATAGTGTAAGACCACGGTCAACATGAAATTTCTAAGTATCCAGTAGTTAATTAAACGGGATATCAAAATGGCAGTCTACTTCTTAAACATCACTTTCCCAAGCAAGGCAAGAGATGCTCAAAGTAAAACAAGTCCAGTTTTTTTTTCATATCATCGAAGAAATTCTGATCAAAAGTTATTCTGTTAACAATGAAATCGTCTTTGCAGTACACCATGAAATCACACCATTTGAAACCAGTGATACCAAGCTGACCAAGTACTTGAAAGTAGTAACTGATGTACAGTCTTCAGGTGATATTGTCCATCATTCACAGTTTCTTTAGATACTGACAGTCCTGATAAGAGTCCTTGTCTGGACATTTGATTTCTAGCAAACCCCACTTTTGGTCATCAGGAGCTGTTGGATCATAAACCAGTCTGTCAGGTGAACAACCTAGGTGCGGTGCTGATGGGTTAATAACGAAGCCAATTGGGTACACATTAACCCCTTTGTGCTGACCATAGACATTGGCAGCGGTTGGTTCCAGTTGCAATCCTCGCTCCATTGCGCTAGTCCTAACTGTTTTTCTCTGGAAACGCTGCGCTAAACTTTCAAAGTCCTTCTGCCGTGAGCAAACGTCCTTGAATTTTGATGCCGTAAGACGAACAGATCGGAGTTTTGTCCATTCTGGGCACTCACTCTGGGCACGAGTTGAGCTTCGTAGTCATCAGACTCTGCCGTGCTGCACATCACAGATTGATATGCTGACTGGAGGTCCTCACTTAGAGACATTGTGTCATACTCTTGTACCAGGGGTGGGCAGGG